TATATATATATATATATGGATTTTCTGGACTTTTATGGATCTACGTGAATTTGTGAGGATTCTTATTGGATATATCTAAATAGTATGTTATACCGATTGTGATTTTAAATATTATGCATATCTAACTCTTTATAAAGCAGCGAAACAAGAATGGGTAACAAGATTCCATTCATCTACACACTTATAAATCGATAGATTTACAGATTATAAATTGATAAATTGATAAATTTGTAGATCCACATCAAGCAGATCTATAAATTGGATTTACATAGGTCCCAGATGTTTATATATGTTCTGATTTTAATGGTCAATTTGTAATTTTGTGGATAAAAAAAATTTTTATATAACTTTTAAATAAAGCTTCTGTAAATATATATTCATAACATTTTTTTTTCTTAATTCGATTCATAAAACATATTGGCATATTTTAATTGTTAGAACTTGAGATATCCTATTTTTATGTAATACTATTCTTTTTTTTAGAACTTTGTATGTACTTGGAAATATTTTTATAAATATTTCTATTCTTAATTTTTACGCATAAAAGAGACGAAAAATTTCAAATAAAAATGTCCTCTTCATCTCATTTGGGCCCATTATTTAGAGACTTGTTCACTTGTTTCTATTTATCTTCGAGCGTGAGTGGAACCTATTTATATTATATTAACAGCTTAAAATATTTCCTATATATAATAATATGCCGAAACTAGATATAGACAAAAATTTAATTATAATTTGGAATATTTTACATCATAACAAATTAAAATAAAAATTTTTTTTGAGATTTTTCTTCTTTATAAATTTCATTAACTTTCAGGTTTTCTTTAAAGTGTAATTATTTTTAATATTGTAAATAGATTTCATCATTCTATAATGGCTGATATCTCTCTCTCTCTCTCTCTCTTTCTCTCTGTCTCTCTCATCTTATCTCGTTCATTCATCCATAATAAAATTCATATTTACACGTTTCTAAGATTAATGCATATAAATGTGGAACGAAATCCACTTTATTCATCTTCAAAAATTATTTTGATTATTTAATTAATTTGAATTATTTTCGATTATTATTTTATTTAAATCTGTCAAAACAAATAATTGGGACATCCAATCATCATAAAAAATGGACATTATTTCATTTTAAGAAACCAGTAAAAATCCTGAAGTTCACAATAGAAATGTAGTTTACGACACACAGGACTGTCGAGCTGTTAGTTTCACTTGAATGTTAGCACAAAACACGCTCGAGAACAAAAATCCCAATGAAGAACGTCTAGAAATACTGGTTATCCCAATAAATTATCGCGCTTCTCTCAGTCATAAATTCTGATTAAAGAATTAACATAGAGAAGTAAATGCGATAATTAAAATCCGTTTTTCTTGTTTCTGCACATATATTAATTACCTGTTGTGTTTTTTTCATGCGAACCGCAGCACGATTGTCTCGAGCCTGAGTCAAATATGGAGCTTTCTTATCAGTTGGAAGTGCTCGCCATTTCTTCAGAATTTGTTTACATCTCTCGGCCCATACTTTGTAAAATAAAAACATTCATTAAAATAATAATATTTTAAATCAGATATAATATCGAAATTTAATTTGGCAGAATCAATAGATAAAAGAAATATTAAAGGATTTTAATAAAAATAACAATTCTTAAAAATGAAATATTTAAAATTCTTAATTAAAAAACGTATTCTTACCTGGAAAATCAGTTTTCCATTCAGGATGATTAATATTAGCATAGAGAACCGAGGATATTGTCGCTGCAGTACCCAATGCTTCATCAGCTTCCAACTTTAGATTGCTTTTTTGGTTGTATGAAATGGTAACATTGCCTATTGGAGCATTTCCTTCATCTTCGGGATTCACCCATGGACTAGGAGGCTCCGAAAATGCTGGACTAAACTGTGGACTACTAAAAAAATTAAAAAATAATTAAAATTATATAGAAATTAAAATTAATAGCAATGTGTGCATATATACATACAGTTTTGAAATCAATTTAATTTCGATATTATTTTCAAAATATGTTTATTCTTACTTGCTATATTCAGAATGGTATGGTGAAGGTGGTGGAAAACTCATTGGAGAATTTAAGTTTGATTGGCCAACCGAAGGTAGAGCACCAGGTACTTGAGGTCTTGCTAATATTGCTGTTTGAATACCTAAGCAATTGATTTATTCAATAACATAAAATATAAAATATATAAGAATTATAAGAAATAAAATAATCCACTTCTAATATTTTTATAAACTAATTTTCTTATTTTTTTATAAAATAAATATATAATTCAATTTATTTCAATAGTACAAAAACACAACAAAACTGATATCAAGATTTTCAAAAACTTGCATACTCAAATATTATTATTTTAGAACATATTTTAGCTCTATATCGGCAAAGTTATATTTTAAAAGCACAGCTAATTTTTTAATTATGATTTCCGGTAGATAAATTTAAACATAGAAAAAATAAGTAAACTACAATCCAATAACTCATTATTAATACTGAACGCTCAGTGAATTCTTTTATTTGATTGGCATATTCCATTAGATTAATCCTAGACCAATCAAATGAAAGAGCTTTAAACTGCGTTCACTTATGTTGTTGATCTGAATGCATCAAATATTACTTAATAAACAACTCAATTCTCTTATATTTTTAAAAATAATTATTGTAATTTTGTCGATTTTGTTTTTATTTAAATTTTGATTTAATGTTGTTAATAATATTATTATAATATAATATATAATTATTACTTCATTTAATTATATATACAAGGTGTATTTCATAATATGTAGGAATAACTTCAGAAATAAATTCAGGACATAAAAATAACATAAAAAGTTCCTATAAACATTTATACTATCGTTTCCGAGTTACAGATATTTCTCGTTACCCACGTCCTGAACTCATTTTTGAAATGATATCTACATGTGAAACATCTTTTATATTATTTTTAGCATGTATTTACCAGGATGAGGAGAGGGTGACACTAGAGGAGTAGTAGATGATGAAGGATGCGAAGTCTGAGCTTGGACAGAGAATACCGATGATTCCTGAGACTCTTGAGATTCATCAGTCAGAACGCCTTTAAATATTTCCTCGATATCTTTACTATCCATATTAGGTAAACCTTAAAAAAACAAGTGTTCAATTTTATATTCAGCTAACTATATTTTAATACTTTCTACTAAAACAATATTAAAATTGTAATAAAATAATATATTCTGTTATCTTAATATACACTACGACAAAATATTTAATGTTTACTTGAAAAGAGCTTACCAGTGTCTCTGACCATTGACTCCAAATTAAAATGTGGACTTAAGATATCCGTCAGTTCATCTTTACTTCCACCTTGAGCATCATCCAATTCGTCCAGTGCTTCGCTCGCTTTAGCTAAGTCCTCATCGTTTTCATTCATTATTGTATTTACTAAATCGCTATCCAATAAATCCCCGGAAATAGGTAAAATATCTCCAAGTGCTTCAGTATCACTTCCATCATCTTCCACGATTTCTTCTCTTTTGATTTGCTCAGGAGCAATCTTTTCATCGTCTTTTTCTTGCTTTGCTTTGACTTGTTCCATTACCTTCAATTCATCTTGAGATAACTGAATTGTATTGGCATTTTCAGGGACTTTATGTTCTTCCTCAGATTCGCTGCTGCTTTCAAGATCTTTTTCTTTCGTTGTATCCATTAAATTCTTGCCAAAAAACGCTTCTTGCATATAAATAGGAAAATATTCCGCCAGTTTTGGTTTTGGCTTTCTTCTCTGAGGTTTCCTTCGGGGTTTATCGTCTCCCATTCCTATGATTGAAGATTCTCCAGGTTTTTCAGCATCTCCTTCTTCTTCTTTGTCTTTTCTAGTTCTCAATCTTACACTAAATCCTCCAATACCTAATTTTTGCAGATTTCTTTGACGTTTTCTTCGTAAAACAGGAAGTCCATTTTCTGAAGTGCAAATGCTAAAGCCTTCTGGAGGAGGTTGGTTCCATACCATACCTTCTTTCAGCACTGTTTCTGGTTCATCTTTGACATCCATCAATTCCAATTTGTTATTTTCCTCTAAAGAATTGTCTAAACTTCCTCCAGCAACGACAGATTCAATAGTCGCCATTATATCTGCTTCTTTATCCACCATTTGAGGTTGTTTTCTTTTCTTTTTTCTTGTTTGCTGATGTTCTGCGGTTAAAGATTTGATATGATTCATCCCTACTTCAGAAAGATATACTCCTTCCATTATATATTGTTGCGAGGAAGTTTTAAATAATTCTGTATTTCGATTTTGAGGTGGAGAAGATGACCGAGTGAATTTCGAGGAAGGTTTAGAGAGAAGGTGAGGAGGGAGAACATCTCTAGGACGACAAAGAAGACAAACGTAACCCTCCTCGGCACAGCGTTCGGCATCAGATTCGCTTTTAATTGAATCACAACCGCAGTGAAGCCATCTTTCGCATTGTACGCATTGAATGATGAGATCACCCTCCTGATAAGCTTCTTGGCAAACTACGCAAGCGGTGTGAGAAGCACAGGGTCCGCATTGAGTATAACTTTTTTGCCAGGATGAATTAAAACCGGGATCGTTAGAACCACAAGTCTGACATTGCGCACACCATTTGCACTTCCATGTACCGTGCGGCACATAATCTAAAGGCGGATCCATACAATAAATGTGATAGCTGATATCGCAGTCGTCACAAAGAATCAAGCGAGCTTCATCATTTCGTTCACCACAGCCTTAAAAACAAAATATTCTATTAACTACTTAATATTAGAATGTCTAATAAAATTCTTTCAACTCATTATAAATTTCTCGGTTACATAATGTTAAAAAATAATAGAAATTAATAAAATTATCTGGCAAGATATTTTATAATTCTATTAATTTTTTTACCATTGCTGAACATTTTAAGTTATATACTAACGCTTTTAATGCTTTTTAATTCATAATATTAGGTGTTGGAATTAATTCGTAGCGTTTTACAAGTGATGGGAAGTACTTTCATTAATGTATTTTTTAATGCTCATGTGAAATAAATAACATTCTTTCATTAAAAAACGCTACGAATTAATTCCAACACCTATTAGATTCTATTTTTTATATATTAAATAATATTATAATGAATTTCAACAATAACTTATGTTAAAAAATTAATTAAGGAAAGTAAACTTTTATTTTTCAACTATATAATTATTTTTTTTTTCACTTATTTTCAAGACTTATGAAATCAATAATAACTAAATCAAACATTTTAGAAATTAAAATATATATGTATTTTAATTTTTCAATACCTTCACAAACAGTACAATCGAGACATCGCCAGCCCTTTTGCAAAATGACCTTAGTGATCTTAACGCCAGCGCAATATGGGTGATAACACTGACCGCATTGTACACATGCAATCAAACAACCTTCTTGATCCATACCAATCGAGCCACACATCACACAAATATCTTGTGTAAGAACAAATTTATCTTTGGCCGAGCACAAGATCAATCTGTTCTCACCCCCAAGCTGTTCTTCTTCCTTCGATTGGGATGAATCTGGATTCGGACTCTGCGATGTTAAAGAAGAATTAATTTAAGTTACAGAGAAAGTAGATCCAGTTATATATTATACAAGATATATCATACTAAAATTATCAGATGATGTTGTTATAATAAGAAATGAAATTAATATCTCATTAATTATTATAAAAATTACGAAATGATACTTTTTGATTCAATTTAGTCCATCCACAATAGGTTAACCGGACAACTCTGTTTATTAGAAATGTACCGGATATCTGGGAAATATTCGGCACCCAGCCTTACTATCCGGTCGGATAGCCAAATATCATTAATACCGGCTATATATATATATATACAAGATGTTTTAGAAATAGTTGGCTAAACTCTAAGAGCATGTTCCACTCATTTAAGAATAAAAAAAGTCATATAAACATGGGTTCGAAAACGCTTCCTTTCCAAATTATAAACATTTCTTATTTAAATTGTACGTATTTATGTCGGACGGCATGCCTTGCTTCGATATTTCATGAATTCTATTCAACTTCTATTCAACTTCTAAAGTAAACAAAAAGTTATTAAATAGATCTGTATGGAATTGGAATCAGTGTTTATTTAAGCACTTAAGAGTAAAGATAGTATTAATCAATATGCTAGCTTATTCTAACATCGAAAAACTCCGGAAGTACTTCGAAATCATATTATCGCTGCGTGTGATAAAATACGAAATACTCTGAGAATTTTTGAACGTCTTCGACAATCCATATGACGTCGATGCGAAGCATGCATCGATGCGGAAGGAAATTATTTCCAGTAATTTCTATGATGAAAATACTAATATAAATATAAAATAAAAAATAGATACAAGTATAAAATAAAATGTAAATATAAGTATAAAATAAAAAAATGTTTATAATTTGGAAAGGAAGCGTTTCCAAACCCATGTTTATATGACTTTTTTACATCCTTACAATGAGTGGAATATGCTCTTAAAGTTTGGCCAATTATTTTTGAAATACCCTGTATATCTAACTAAAATTTTATTGAAAGTTTCTGTTATTGATACAGAATTCTATTCTTTCCAATCGAATTTCTTGCACAGTTCATCTTTCTTCTTTTTCTTTTCACGTTGAGGAGATAAAGAAAATTATTATTGCTATTTTTCTCTTGCTTTCCTTTCTTTTTTTTTTCTATAGCAAATTCGGTTGGACGCACTAATACGCACTAGTGCTTATTAAAACCATTGTACATAATTTAATCTGCGTAATAATTGTGCAAATATTTCGAATTATAAAATAGAACTTTTACTTAACAGCACAATAAAATGTATTAAGAATTTTATGGCATAATCCGTTTTTATATTTATATTTATATTAAACACACATTTTTATATTAATTTGTATAAAATGGCTTTAATGTGCTCCAGTGCGCATTGAATACATTCAATCGAATTCGCTGTTAATAGAATGGAAAAATTTTTTTAAATGTACCGAAAATGAATAACCAAAAATATCCGGTACTTGATTGGATTACCTTACCGGATATTTAACCAATAGATTGACTAGATGTCGGATATCCAATGTCACATTCTTTCTGGATATCCGATACTAATAATTTTACGATCCGATACATTACTAGTCTATGCATATACACATATATATATGTATCGATATGTATTAATAAACAAAAGAAAAAAATAAAAGCCAAAGAAAACATATATGTACACTAACAAATCGATTTTGGTAAATATTGAGATGGAGGGAGCCCAGCGCCGATTACCTTGACCTTCATATATGTTGTCGCGTGGAAAGTCGCGTACCTCTTGCAGGAGGGAAGGAGGGGTGAAAATCGCTTCGCATGGAAAGTCGCGCACCCCTTGGCAGGGGAGGGAAGAGGAGGGGGTGAAAGTCGCTTCGCGTGGAAAGTCGCGCGCCTCTTGGCAGGGGGAGAGTTGGGATGAAGGTCACTTCGCATGGAAAGTTGTATTCCTTGAATTCGTCCACTTCATATCTCTCTCCCTGTTTAAAGTTATCTGATTCATGTAAAGCAGGAAAATAATTACTAATTTTGACTGTTAATAACTTTTTAACAAATGACGAGCGATGATTAAAACCTGTTGGAGATCAGGATCATGACTTTGACAACATATGTCAAGATCATCAGTGCTGGCTCCCTCCATCTCAATATTTACCTCGATTTCGTCAAAGCAATTTTTTTAATTAAAAAATTTATTTATTAATATCAAAATAAAAAATAAAATGTGAAATTAATAAATAAAATTCTTTGTAAAAATACACATTAAAAATAATTTTAAAGCGCCACATACCTGCAAACCCACTTCTGGTACTCCATAAAATCCTCTCATTTTTCCCTTGGGTCCTCTCTTTCTTCCAAATTCTGTCATCTTTTGCCTCTTTTGATATCCCAGTTTTCCAATACCTTTGGGCCTACCGATAACTCCGCCGCTAATCCCCAATCTTTTCTTTGCAATCTTTGTAGCACAGAACGGTTTCCCTTTCCCTAATCCGACCGAATAAAGCGCTTCTTCGGAACAACCACTTGGATAATCTAATTCAGAAGATTCACCATCGAGACTTTCTTGCGAAGCACTTAGACTTAAATCGCCTTCATCAATACTGTCCTTCCGTCTGGCTACCATGGCGATGCTCTTACAATGCAGACAAACATATTCGTAATCCGGCTTCGCTTCTTTGCGCTGCTGATAAGTAAGCGGATCCGCTTCGGGATCGCATGTGCCATGCACAAATTTCTTGCAACCATGACATTGGACCATTTCACGATATGCCGCAGCTCTGTAAAGAGAAAAAAGCAACAAATAATAAATAAATAAAAACAATAAAAAACATACAATAACATATATATAAATATATACAAATTCTCATATACTTGAATTAAAGCTTTGAAAATGGTAATGTCCAAATCAATAAAACAGTATATAATTTAACAAATGGTTATAAAAATTCTTACAAAAATCATATTTTACTTGACTTCAATAAAATATTATAATTATTTATTTATATAATATAAAAATTTTGCAAAAGTGAGATATCTTGGTTACCTATATGCCTTTCTACAGAGTGGACAAGAAAAGCCCTTGTTACGCTGCTGATAGCATGAATCACAGACGGTATAATGAGAATGCCATCTGGAAGATAGTCCAGCTCCAGGAGTACGTGAACCACAATCGGTGCACACGCGACAACATTTACACTTCCAGCCGTATTTTGGAATAGAAGTGACAATCGGTCGCAAACAACCGGGATGATAAGCTTTGTCACATCGTTCACATAGCATTACCTATAAAAAAAATCTTGTTTTATAAAAACCATTAAAAAGAGATGTGTGTGTGTGTGTGTGTGCGTGCGCGCGCGCGCGCGCGTACGCGTGTGTGTGTCGTTCCTTCATAAATGATACGACTAAAAAAAGTTTTTCAGAAAAAGGGAAAACAATTTTTCAACTTAACAAAAAATTGCTGACTACTCTAATAGTATCACAACAAAATCAAAGTTTGTATTTTATGATTAAGTTTCATTTTTCATTTCTCTATTCGTTCTGTATTTATTTGAATTTTTATAACCTTTGAAACATCCTCGGGTTGCCGACAGACTTGACATACACGGCAAGACACGCACTGCCATCCAGCACGTACCCCAGGTAATAATGCCAAGCCCACACAACTGCCATGATAGTGTTGGCCGCAAACGGAGCACATCACTAGATTCGAGACATCACCCATTCCATAACATTGAACGCAAGTAACTTCTCCACACACTATAAATGTAAAATTATTTTGCATTCGATTAACTTCTTTAAAATCAAACGGTTAAGTATTTACAAAATTTTATCTCTTATAAGTAAGCACTGTAGCTAAAAATATTTAGATAAAAATTGTTTGGTTTTGAGAATAAATATTAGGTAACAATGATGCGTATATGTGCGTGTGTATAAGCGCGCACGCACTATCGAGTCAATTATGGCAATATATTTATTTAGCATATACATAAAACGCATTTAAAACAAAGTTTTAGACAATCCTATTTGTACATGAGTAGTGGTTCCGTCCAGAATTTTTTTTTTTTTGAGAAACGACAGAGGATGAATTCTCGTATTTTTTATAGAAGTGAAAGTCCAAAAAAGTACAGAAATTGTAAAAAAATGTTCACAAATTCGCACTTATTAATAAAATTCGCATAAATTCACCATTATATTAATAAAATAATTTCCTTATATTTACGTATAAAAAATATATAGAATTTAGACTTTAAAAGTTTCTTTCTTTCTTACTTTTACTTCATTTTCAGATATTAAAAAAAGATTAGAAAATTTAAAAATTAGAAACTTACATAAAAGTGGAACTTGACCAAGATGCTGACTGCAAAAAAGGGCCAAATTCTTACTGTCTTGAAAGCAACTGCTGGCCGCAGCACACGGAAAATGAAAATAACGATTGCACGAGGTTACCTGTCAAATACCGCAATTAATTATAATTAAGCAATCACAATTAAACTGTGAATATATATAAAATACTTTTCGATTTTTATTTTTACAATTATTTAATTCTAAATATAAAAAAAATTCTAAATATAAAAAAATTCTAAATATAAATCGTTTGTTTTACTTTTATTATAATTCATATGTGTGTGTGTGTGTGTGTGTGTGTGTGTTATATAACATAAAAATCTTTATATCACTGACTACTATAATATATAGCTAAACTATGGCTTACTTTGCAAGAAATTCCAGCACCATAATGCGAGCAATAGGCGCACCGTCTGGAGGAAGCTTGTAAAACAGCACGACATGCCAATTCTGATATTAAAATTTGATTGTTGCTAGACCAGATAATACATGATTGATGAATATAGTAATGACCGGTTGAGGAATCAAACAGAGTCCCGACTTCTGGTTCTTCCAAATAACCTACGATTGTCAATTCTTCCACCGGTTCCGTGAAATTAGTTAGACTAGTATTCCTATAAAAAATAATTTTAATGTAATAATTTTAACAGATATAAATTTTAATATATTTTAATTGTTTATTTCTATATAAGTTAATAAGCACACTTTATGAATTTGCTAGTTAAGAATTAATTTGTAATATATTTTTACCTGCATTTGGCTAGACTTTTTTGTCTACGACAGGTAACAGCAATTCCAGGTCCAGTAGCACGCGGACTTTTATCTCCTGCAACAGTGACATTGACAAGATGGTCGCTACCTGTTTCATCGCGGTTTGTCGGCTTCTCAGGAGTAAAACCTGGTGGACATGTCAGACGCAAAAATTCACCTTGTCCCAACTGACTCCTCTCGCCTAAATTGCATAACGCACATACTTTGCCCGGCCTAGAAATTTTTATAATTATAGTTTTTAATATCATTTAAAATACTTAAATTTGCTTTTTAATATTTCATTTATTTTTTATTTAATTCATCGAAATAATTATTACATGAAATATAAAAAATATTTTAAAAATTCTATCGTGTATGTAAATCATTTTACAATATTTTAATATATTCAATTACTAAAACTCATTTTAAGTACAAAATAAAAATTATAAAGAATTATCTTACCATTGTTCAGAAAAGTAAGGAGGTTCTTCAGGCGCCGGCATCGATCTCTCAATCGAGTTTCCCACTAATTCACTACTACCATCAGGACCAGTATCATCCATCCCAGTGATACGCAAAGGACTTGGTGATTCCGAGTGTGTGTCATCATCTTTACTTTTGGTACGACGCGGTACACCTCTTGTGTATCCAAATCTATAGAAATAATAAAATATTAAAAAATGACATCAAATAATTCGTAAATGCTCTATTAAAAACATAATTTTATACATACACATATTTATGGATACACATATATGAATATACAATATAATCATATATACATATATACATATATACATATATACATATATACATATATGCATACGTAAATAAGCATGCATTGTGTGCATATTAAAATAATAATTATAGTGACTGAACAAACCCTTTGCCTCTGGCACTACCCCTTCCAAAAGATCTTTTTGTGCCTCCTCCACGAGTTAAACCAAAAGGTCGTTCTTTCCGAGGTCTGCCAGGTCCACGGCGAATATTCAAAGGTTTACCACCAGGTAATGAAAACTTTGGATACCGCAGTGGATCATGAAAAGCCTCATCTGATGTAACTAGATATTTTTTTAAAAAGAAATTTTCAAAGATAATTTAATATAAATAATATTATATTAATTAAATATAATATTAAGTATTATTATATATACATATACTTTGTAGAAAATTAAAACTTTCTTTGTAATTTTGGTATTATTTTATTCTTTACTTAATTTAATACTCTACTTCTGATATTTTAATAAATTAAATAATTATGTTTATATTACTTTTATAAATATTATAATAGTGATTGCAACATGCATATTATTTTTCTAAAAATAACAAAGAGAATGTTTAAAATATAATTATGTTACCAGTGGTTGGTGTTGTCTGTCCAAGCAATTGATCCGAGTTAGCTGGAGATATAGGGATGCCTGTTGTTTCTTCATCCTCGTCTTCACCATCCGAAGCCTCATCCAGCTCCATCTCCTCTTCACCTTCAAGTCGCACTTCATCATCCATGACACTGTCTTTCTCTCTCTCTCTATTTTTGTTTTGCAAAGCTAAAAATTATATATAATTATAAAAATCCTGTTTCCGGCTATGAAAAACAAAGGCATTTAGCTTTTAATTATAAAAAACTTAGTAATATTTTGACCTTTGTATAAATTAGAATCAGAAGAATAATCTATAAAACAAAACTAAAAGAATTCAGCAATACTTTGATAATAAGATCCTTTTTACACAACTATTGTACAACTACCACAAAATATCTTGTCAAAATGTATATTTTTTTTTTCTTCTCTAAACTCTAAAATTAAAAATAAGTTATTCAACAATTATATATCCAATTCACAATAAAAAGACAAAAATTGAAATTCTATAGTAATTCCCCCGCTCTTCACCCCACTACCCCTGCTCTAACCAGATTCGTCGTTTTCCTCCAAATGGAAAAAGTACGGAAGATGAAGGAAGGCGTCGCGACAGTGACGAGGAGTAAGCACATTCGCCATTACTACGTAAACAGATTCTCGTCAGGGCGCGCCGCCGTTTGCCATTCGCGTTGGCGGGGTGCCGCGGAACTCGGCACTGTCTGCGGTCCACGTACCTGAGAATTAATGCTGTCGATAAGGCGACGTGAATATCATGATGGAATCGATGACGGATTGCTGGTTATCATGATAAGGGCGGTACAACCAGGTAAACATGTTGGAACAGCGCGAACGGTCCGTAGAAAAAAAATGTCACATATACAGGTAAACGAATGGAATCCCCAACGCGAACGGAAGAGTGCGCGACGCGACTAGCACACTAGATGATTAGAATCACGGAGAACGGATATGCGCGCGCAAGTATGCTGCATGCGCGCCACACGTAAAACTTCCTAGGATTCATTTTAAGCTGGCTTTTCATGCGCTGCACGATGCGGCAGCAAAATTTTGGGTACGTATGTACACTGAGGAGCAAAGATAAGCTTGTATAGTGCAGTGCATTAATTCGCTGGTCATAGTAGCAGCTTGACTTATCGAAATTAAAAAAATGCAGTACTAAAAAGTTTATAAAAAATTCTGAAAAAATTCTTAGAGTTCTACGGGAAGAGAATAAATGATTTCTGTCTCTTTCAATTTTTCTGTAAAGTTGATAGTATTTAAGTAAAAAATAAACGTTGATAAGTCTACTATGATCCAACGAATTAATGCACTGCAGTGTACTTCGGTGTAAATTGGTATAGACGAACGTATCATCCCACCTATCACAACCCACGGGTGAAACACTCGTCTACAGCAACTTACACCGAAATACAATACAAGCTCATTTTTGCTCCTCAGTATACTTGACCGAACAAGTACATACACCGGGTGAAAAGAATTAGGGCCGGTTTTATTAACTTCGATTAACTAACTAATCTAATCGGTCGATTAAGTGTCAACCGTGATTGGTTAATTCTGCTGAATAGCAAATGCAATTAGTCAGTTTCAATGTAACAATCGACCGATTAGATTAATCGGAATTGATGAGATGGGCCCTTACTATTCCAAAACGTATGTATTTCATACGAAGTTTTAAAGTATCATTAAAAAGATTTGTGAGTCATCCATTCATCCATATATTGGGTCATCTAAAAAGTATCCGCGATTTTTTGTCACTAGATGGTGTTGATGTCAACCATCTAGTGACAAAAAATCGCAGATACTTTTTAGATGACCCAATAGTTATAATTAACTACATAAAAATTATGTAATTGACCAAAATATAAGGCCTGTTCTTTTTAGCTAAATTTTTGCACCAGTTTACCTTTCTTCCTTTTCTTTTCAGGAAGAAAAAAGAAGAAGAAAGATGTAGTGATCAATCGCAAAATTCAGCCAAAAAGAACAGGTCTCTTGATTGATGGCACTACAGCGCTCTAGGTCTCTATTCTCGAAAAGTATTATATCACATACGAAAAACTAGGGAAATACAATATTATAGTACGCGTTACATATACCATATAGCATTTCTCTCATTTTTCGTATGCGATATTTTTCAAGAATAGACCCCCTGGAGTTCCGTCAAGCGCTATCGTCAGTCTCTCTAGTAATTCGATATTTCAGGGCGTATTATGGAATTGCTTGGAATGGGTTCCGATTAAAATAATTCGATTATTTCCTACATTTTTCTTGTATTTTTTAAAGAAATTGTAGGAAAAATA